TTCTTCCTCTACGGCTTGGCCCGGCACACACCACTTCTCCTGCTCCTCCTTATCACCCTCATTTTCCCATGGTCCCCACTTCCTCTCCCTATTACTCCGTTCTCTGTCCCTCCCCTCCCTCCTTCACTTTCACCACCACTTAAAGGATTCCATCCCCTCAAATCCCATGATATCAACTTCTCAATCCTTAAAAAACGAAACAAAAAAAATAGGAAAAGAAAGAAAGAAGAATCACCGCCCCCGATGCTACTTCCCTCTCCTCCTCCTTCTCCTCTCTTCTCCTTCTCTTCTCCTTCTCCCTCCTTCCTTCTCCTTCTCCTCTTCCCTTCTCCTTTCCTTCTCCTCCTTCTCCTCCTTCTTCTCCTTCTTTCTCCTTCTCCTCCTTCTTCTCCTTTTCCTCCTTTCTTTCTCCTCCTCTCCTTCTTCTCCTCCTCCTCCTTTCTCCTCCTCCTCTTCTTCTCCCCTCCTTTCTTCTCCTCCTCCTTCTTCTCCTCCTCCTTCTCTCCTCCTTCCTCCTTCTTCCCGTCCCTCTTCCCTCTTCTATGTGATTTATTGACATAAGGGTAATTTCTTCCCAGTATAGTGATTTCATCTCTCTAATTAGGCGTATATCTTTCATAAATAAATACATCAGTGCCTTGCTATCTCATTCTCCCTCATTTTCCTTATTTTCCTTATTTTCTCTATTCACGTCCCTTACCTTTCCCCATTCCCTGATCTGTCCCTCACATTCTTTCCCTACCACTTTACACTTTCCCTCCTGTCTCCTCTGCCTCATCTTCCCTCCACACACTTACCCTCCTATCTCAATTTCCTCTCACACTATTTCCATTCTACATCTCCCCTCATAGCCCCTTTTCCTTTCCACTTCTCTTCTCCCTTATTTTTCCCTCACATCCTTTTCCATATCTTCCCCTCTTCTCTCTCATACCCTTTTACATTTCCACCTCTCTTCCCCCTCTCCGTTTTCCTTTTTTCATCTCTCTTCTCCCTCATTTTCCCCTCACACCCTTTCCCTTTCCAAGATCTCTCCCACCTCCTCATTTTCCCCTCACCCCTTTTCCCTCACCCTCCCTTTCCTCTTCCATCCTTTCCCCTCACCTCTCACCCTATTCCAAGAGCAACGATGGAGTGTGTGTGGGGGGGGGGGAAGGGGTTGCACGGTTGCAAGGTTGCACGCGGGTGTCAAACACAGGAGGGGAGGGAGAGGCAGCGGACATTCGAGCTTCTCACACTTGCTACACGGTGACGCCACGCTATCACAAAGAGGCTTCTGTGTGCGTGTGCGTCTGCGCGTGTGTGCGTCTGTGAGGGTGAGAGTAAGGGTAGGGTGAGGGAGGGTGAGTTGATGGAGGGAGGTAGAGGGAGGGAGGGCTGGGGGAGAGGGAGGGAAGGAGGGAGGGAGGGAGAGGAGAGGAGGAGAGAGGGGGAGAGAAGAGAGATCGAGGAGTGGACGAGGAAGACGAGATGGAGAGAGATGAGACGAGAGAGGAGGGAGGGAGGGAGGGAGGAGGGAGGAGGGAGGGAGAGAGAGAGAGAGAGAGAGAGAGAGAGATAGAGAAGAGAGAGGGATAGAGAGTGAGATGCTGAGAGGTGTGAGCTATACGTGCGTGAGTGAGAGTGAGTATACGAGAGCGGATATATACGAGCGAGAGTCGGAATAAACGCGAGATAGCGTGTGAGTGCGAGCAATAAACATCAGCCTGAAACCGAAATCGAGACTAAAAGTGGTGTATATCCTCCTTCCTCCTTCCTATTATGCTTCCTATCTCCCCTCTTTCTCCCTGCTTCGTATCTCTCTCCCTTTCCCCGCTCCCTTCTTCCTTATCTCTCCCTCCTCCCTTCGCTCTCTCTCTCACACTTCTGCTTTGGGTTTGCAAGCGTGCGCGCCTCCCCCCGTGTGTTTATGCAACTGCAAAGACAACAACGAGTATCCCAATGACATCACGAAGGGATTATGAAAGTAAAATCAGTGTATGTAGAGAGAATTAAAAAAAAATCAAAGCAAAAGAGAAAAAACAAACAGACAGTATATGAAAAAAAAACAGACAGTATATGTAAAGAAAGAAAAAGAAAACTTCAAAGCAAAAGAGACAAACAAACAGATCTATAAATCGCACTGGGGTTACGCAGATAAATATTCCCCCGCAGACAAGTGCATTTGAAGGAGGTTCTTCGCCTCGCTCATCACCACCACTGCCAGGTGATCGTCACAGCCTTTGCCACCAGAACTATCACCACCACCATCACACCAAGATCATCATCAACATTACCATCACCACCATCACCAAGATGATGATCACCAGCATCATCAAAATCATCACCATCACTAAGATCATCACCAGCATCATCAAAATCATCACCACCATTACCATCATCACCAAGATGATGATCAAGACCATCACCATCACCAAGATCATCATTACCGCCAAGACCATCATCACCATCATCATCATCATCATCATCATCATCATCCCACGCCTCATTTTCGCCATACAATCTCGCCTTTTAAGGCCGCAACTTAGGCGTTCCCTCAAGTGGCCCGCCCTCAGACGAGCCGCTGCCTCGCTCTCTAACTACTCCTTGTCCCCTTTCTTCCTCTTTTTTCTCTACCTTCTCCATCTTCCTTTCTTATCATCCTTATAATTTTACCATTAGGACCATTTTTTCCCGTTTCTTCTCTTTTCTCTTCTCTTCTCTTCACCCCTCGCTTTCTTCCTTCCTCGTCTTTTCTCACCTACATCGTCTCCCTCTTCTCCTTCTCGTCCTCCTCCTCCTCTTCCTTCTCTTTCTCTCCCCTCCTCCTCCTCCTATTCTTTTTGTTCCCCTCGCCTTAATTCAAGATATTCCACCGATTTCCTGCCATCAGTTGTCGCTCTCGACTCCCCTTCCCCCTACTCTTCCCCTGACCTCCATTTCCTTCATTCCACTAACCTCTTCACAACTTTAACACGTCCTTCCAATTTCTCCCCTCTTATCTCTCCTCGCTCCTCCTCCTCTCCTCCTCCTCCTCCTCCTCCTCCTCCTCCCTCCTCCTCCTCCTCCTCTCCTCCCTCCTCCTCCTCCTCTCCTCCTCCCTCCTCGACCCCCACCACCTCCTTGTATCCTATGCATCCTCCCCTCCCTCCTCCATCTCAAACACGACCTCCTTCACCCCCTCCTCCCAATCCTCCGTTGGTCGGCCTCCGCCCCTTCCCCCCTCCTAGCCCGAAACCCCTCTCCCTCTCCCTCCTCCTCCCTCTCCCTCTCAACCCTCCTTTCCTTCCTCCTCATCGGCCTCTCCCTCTCCTTCCCTCTCAACCCTCCTCCTCCTCCTCCTCCTCCCCTCCCAACCAACCCTCTCCCCTTCTCCCCTCCCTCCCACACCGACTCGCACCGATGCCCATATAAGGCCAGCGCCGCCAGAGCTGCCGGGACGGGGCCAAATACGGGCCTCGGCCGTGTCACGTCCTGCGAGCGAGTCCTGCGCGGGGCGGGGCGCTGGAGGAGAAAGAGGGGGGAGAGAGAGGAGGGAGGGAGGGAGGAGGGAGGGGGGAGAGAGAGGGGGAGAGAGGGAGAGGGGGGAGAGAGAGAGAGAGAGAGAGAGAGAGAGAGAGAGGGAGAGGGAGAGGGAGAGGGAGAGGGGAGAGGGAGAGGGAGAGGGAGAGGGAGAGGAGAGGGAGAGGGAGAGGGGAGAGGGAGAGGGAGAGAGGGAGAGGGAGAGGGAGAGGAGAGGAGGGAGAGAGGAAGAGAGAGAGAGAGAGAGAGAGAGAGAGAGAGAGAGAGAGAGAGAGAGAGAGGAGAGAGAGAGAGAGAGAGAGAGAGAGAGAGAGGAGAAGATGAGAGAGATAGAGAGAGAAGAGGAAAAGAAGAGGGTAGAGACAAACCAAAACATCCAGAAAACGAAAAAAAAAAAAAAAAAAAAACGGAGACAAACACCCAGGCAGACGATCCAACAGCAACAGCCAGGGCGAGAG